TGTGGTCTACTTATTAGAAATGGAATCACCTGTGTTTGCTCACTGGTGATCTGTGTTCAAACTCCAGTGTCGGCAGCGACACTTTACTCCTATACAACACTTTTCCTTTTCTTTTTTTTCCTCAATACAAATCTCCTCATGAAAAATACAATGAAAATAACTACGAGAAAACAAAAAACATCTATCCTTTCAACTGTTCTTTCTCCAATGTTCGTGGTATACACGTCAACTTCAGTAGTATAGAATCTTTTCTCTTGGGACGGTCATCGGATATCTTTGCACTCTACGAAACCCATTTAAATTCTTCCATTCCTACCAATGAATTCACTGTTCCAGGTTATCTTTCCCTTTGTCGAAAAGATTTCAGAGTTCATATGCATGGCCTTGGTGTTTACATCCGGATATGATCTTCCACTGGAAAAAGGAATTGTCACTCGAGTCTCCAGACAACTCTTTCAAGTGCCTTCTACTTTCATTATTACACTCTGTTAGCTAACTCTTTTTCATTTATCGCCTCCCTCTTCTCAGGACTCTAGTATATTAAACATAATCTCTGACAGTATAAAAAATGCACTCTCTCCATCCATCTGAGAACATCTTTGTGTTTGGTGATTTTAATGCGCACCACGACACATGACTTAAACTTTCTAATGTTACCAATGTTACCGGTATTCAAAACTGCCAATTTTCCATTGCTCGATCCCTTACTCAAATTCTGAATCTCCCTACTCATTTCCCCAGCAAATCCCAGCAACAGGCTAATTACTTGATTTATTTATTACTTTCCCTCCTTTGCAACACTGTCCTTTTGGCAACTCGGGTCACTCTATTGATATTTCGTTTCAATCATCTATTAAACATGAACCCTTTATTCATAAGACTTTTACCTTTCAGGCATGCTGACTGAGATTTACTCCGTGACTTTCTTCGAGATGTACAAATTGAATATTGCGCCACTGAGATTTCCTTTTGCGTCAAAGCCGGCATAGATGCTTTCATTCCTTATCGGAAATACCAAATGAAATCTCAATCTTCATGGTTCACACAAGCATGCTCTACTCTTATAGCCCACAGAAACCACTCTTTCCGGCTAAACCAGCGCGACAGTTCACGTCACAATAGACGCCTATTCGAGGCTAAATGTAAACGTGTCCGCGAAGGAGCTACGTCTCTGTTTGCCGAGAAAATGAAGCATCGTAATGAATCTAACAACTTTGGCTCTCGTGATTACTGGTGGATCTGTAATAGTGTATTAAATAAGAGTAAGTTTTATATTCCTCCACTCTTCTATCAATTTTATGTGTTAACATCTACTAATAAAGCTGAATGTTTGTCCCGTAAATTCTACTTAAACTTTACCCTTGATTTATCTGGAGCATCCTTCCCTAACTTACCACATAGAACTGAGTCTCTGTTGAGTGATATGCATATATCCCCTTCTATCATCTCTCTGAATCCCAACAAAGCATGTGAACTTGTGATAGTATCGCTGTAATAGTGCTTAAAAAGTGTGCTCCCGAACTGACTCTTGTATAATAAATGTATCTCTGCCTCTCGCTTTCCTGTCTGTTGGAAATCATCATCTGTTATTCCAGTTTTTAAGAACCCAGGTGAACCGTTTGATCCTTCCGACTATCAGCCTATTAGCTTTCATCCTTCTTTTTGGGAAGCATCAAGAGTCCAAAATAAATGCTTAATTTGTTAAACATATCACATCGCAGGACATTTTTCAGACAAGCAATATGTTGTCCGTTTCTTCATGTCAACTGCTGATGTACTGACAATAATTATGGAAAAAGTTTATCATGCTCTAGATAAGAATGATGAAACTCGGGCTGTAGTTTTGCACACCACGAAAGCTTTCGATAGGGTTTGGCGTACAGGTCTTCTTCACAACTTGAAAAATTACGGTGCTACCGGACATTTTTGAACAGATCCAGTCTTTCTTATCAAATCGTGAAAGTTATCCTGTTAGCCACTCTTCTAGATCCTTTTGTACTAATGCAGGTCTCCTCCGGGGATCTATTCTTGGTCCAACTTTCTTTTTTAATTTTCGTTAATGACCATCCAGATGGCATCAGCTCTCAACTTTCTCTATACTGATGGCACAACCATTTACTTCTGTCTCGATAATAAGTCTTACCAGTTCGATAAGGTCAAATTGGCGACTGATGTCAAAAATGACCTTCAGTCTGTTGTTAACTGGTGCAAAGGATGGCTTTAAAAAACTTTAACGCCTTCAAAACTAAACTTCTTTTTTTTAATAAACTCAGAGACATTTTTGTTTTCCATCAGCATAGCTAATGTTAACCTTCAGTAGATTAACCATTGCGCCTTCTCGGGCTAACGTTCTCGGCTGACATGAACTGGAAGTGGACGACAATATTAAATCTATTGCTAGGTCAGCTGTTAAGAATTCTTAGATTTTTAATAACTTCTTTACTATGTCAAACATAATTATTGGAAAAAGCAAATGAAAGCACATTTGTTCAAATTTTAAATTTATTAATAATTCATTTGTTTTATATTTTGGTATTTATATTTTAGATTCAGAAAGATTAGCATCAATTAAAAAAACATAAAAATAGCAAAAACAAAGCAAAACAAAAAATGCAAATTATCTCGTTTGATTATGCGTTGGCGGAGTGTGATAGTTATTATTAGAGAGTTCGATCTTCAATCAGTGTCTCATTCTTGTGCCTTTGTAGGAAACCTTGTATTTTTCTATGCATGCTATAATTATATCTTTTTTTAAAAATAAGTAAAAGTTGAATCAAAGGTCAAAGATTGCACGAAACTGCAATTGGAATAACTTTTTCTCCTTGCTTTCTTTTTTGTATTTCATATGTAAACGAAGTAATCGCAAGTTAAATAGAATTCTTGTCAACCTCTCTGCTCCCGAGAGGAGAGGAACCCAGATGAGGCTATGCCGAAGGGCAGAGACTTTTCTGTGGAGGTAGATATGTTGCAGAATTATCGGTGTTAATTCAAAGAATTATTATCAGAAGGCTTTAGTTAACATAGTTAATAATACTTGATCAATCTGCGTGAAGAAAAACTCTACAAACATTTTAATTTGCTGTCCGCCTGACACAAGGTCAACAATAATATTTTCATAAAAATAGCAAAAAAAGACTTCTTTTCTATGTTAGAAGGAAATATTAGAATTTATATACAATTAGGTTGTTGGGGATGTGCAGAATAAACTAAGGAATTTGCTGTAGCATTGAGTTAAATCAGAAGGAATTTTTATGTTAGGTTGCATGAACTTTTCTGCATTCACAAACAAATAAACAATTTCAATGTAAACAAGACAAAACATACATGCAATTCAAAATCGATAAATGCATTTATATACAAATAAGATAATATGTACAGAATATGTTTGAAGATGTTATTGTGTTGGTGTGCTTGTCATATTTCTAGTTTTTGTATGTCCTTTTTTATGTCTTGTGTATCTGTGTTACAGTCTTTTTAGGAAATTGTAATTAGTATTTAGAATGTCGGTATTATGCTTTTAGAAATGTCATTACGAAGTAGTCTACCTTTGACTGCAAATGTTGAGTTCGTTCGGTGATGTTATTTACTTAGAATAGTAGTGAGTGTTAATTCACTTTAGATAAGTAAAGTTGTTCGGATAGAAGTTTCGGTGTTCACAGAGTTTTGGCTTGCGAGTGAGTCAGTAATGATTGAGTTTGCGCGTTAGTTTGCGCGGCAAGATTGCAGTTGCAAGCGACGTGGATTATATTAGCATATCTTTGTGCTCGTTCGACTGACTGACTTGGTCAGTTGATATTCTTCCTTTTATAGGTTTTTAGATGTCCAAGTTGGCTCAGATAAGTTTTGGCGCAATTCTATTTCCGCACGTGAAGTTTTCGAATTTTGTGTTGTGAGCCAATGGGAATCGCTGATTCGCATAGTAATGTTTTTATTGGTTAAGGTTTATGTACGTAGGCTTATAGAATAGAATGTTCTTGTTGCTAGGGGTGATAAGGTAAATGGACGAGTCTACAAGTTCGTGCTGAAATAAAATATTCAAAGAAGACATCTTTTGAAATCCTTTTGTGTTTTTCCTGTTTTTGTTGTTTGCTGACAGAAAAGTTCACTATTTTTTATTAAAAGATATCGTTCAAAAATATTTCTACGACAGTGACTAATATCAGGAACTTATCACTTCTAGTTTGAAGTGCTTCAGTTATATAAGTTAGGGTGTTTTTGATTTGTTCTTTTTCTTCTAAGTCAATTTTGAATTGAAAATACTGATCTTATACAACATATCAGTAAATTGTTTGCAATGATATTTCTAATAACTGAACGACGTTATCTGCCTTTAATTGTGATTGTTCGCAGAGTGAAATAGAAAGCAAAATTTCCAGAAAGAATGAATTCAACAATTGTTTAGCGTTTGAATGTGAAATTGTAATATAATAAATTTGTTATTGTCAGTATTTGTTGGAAAGGTTGTTATCTGAATTTGAGTGAGTGTGTGAGAAAATTTTTTTTTTTGTTTTTTTACATTACTTGTTATGTAGCTTTCAACGTCCACTACAAAAAGAAGTTGCATCAACTATTGTGTTCAAATAAATGCAAAAGAAGTGGTAAATTTTAATTTTTTGGTATCATTTTGTGCACAATTGCTATTAATAAAAGAAACAGAGAATTATTTCTACGCTTTTCTGTTAATTTAAAATTTTTTTTTAATTAATAAATGTAATTATTAAAATGAATCATTAAACTTGAATAAATAACAAAGGTAATTTTCTATCACTTTTTAAGAGTATCATTTGAAAAAATGAGTGCAAGAAGTTCATATGACTTCGAAGTAGTTTCCTTCTGTACGCGTACAGAAGGAAACTACTTCACAAAGGGAAACGCAAAAATTCAGTACTATCCTTCATATTTTACGAAGTTTTGGTTGTCACTCAGAAGTATACAGTTGGTTCTGAGAAAATCATTTTTAGCAAACAAGAGAGTATTTATAAATTTGTGCCCTCAATATCCTAAGAAAAGTCACTATGGAAAGAGATAATGAAAGAGAGAGAGAGAGAGAGAGAGAGAGAGAGAGAGAGAGAGAGAGAGAGAGAGAAAATCTAAAGATTTGAATAATCGTTTATAACAGAGCTGTCGGTCAATGGCATGTTTACTAGTTCTTTAGATATAAATGCTGTTTCTTCTGTTCTCTGACGCAGTAGCAACAACTGCTGAGTGATTCATCTGTTTTCATAAGCATATTTCTTCTGTTGTTTTCACTGCCTTGATCAGAAAACTGATGGTTTATATTTTCCGTTTCCTGTCGACTATCCTGACAAAAGATCCAAACCGCAGAGAAATGGAGCCAAGTCAGTTTAAACATAATTAATACAAAAAGAGACATAAATCGTTTCAACTGGAAAAAGATATTCCTATTTAATTTTGATAACCATTACGCCACGTCGCTCTTCAAAATTATGCAACAGTAACTTCATATAACATTGAGAACAAGCAAATTAGTTTATGAAATGACACATATATATATTGTATGAAGTTTGGATTGAGCATGGTGTAAATTTGTTGTAAAAAAAGCAGCGTTTTCATCTGAAAAGTAGTTATTTTCATTTTTATTGATTATCTGTAGCGGACACTAGTCATTTATCGATTGCATATCGTGACTGGAAGGTCGTTTTCTGTTTGGAAAATTTAGTTTGACCGATGCATGTTCAATCTATAATCAATCGATTGACACCTTTCTGCCTATGATGTCAAGCCCTAGAATTTATTTCTTCCTCCAGCATTCATAGTATCATAATAAAATTTACCACATGAATCAATTTGCAACCATTATCACGAACACGCTCCAAGTTATTTAATTATGTATTACAAATGCTGTGATCATATGTACATAAGCAAGAATGGATACAGACGCTTCTTTCTACATATACAAAAACACAGACGTACACATATTTAGAAACTTAACAGTTGATACTATATTCTCATTTCCTTAAGTAATCTCACCTAACACATTTACTAGAGAAGAAGACCCGCACCAGTCCAGTTAAACTTATTCCTCCGTTAATATTGAATTCAATGTTGGTACGAGATGCTGACGCACCCTAAGCAACGAATGTCAGTCTCCCTTCTCCCATTTTGGTTCTCATATATGAGCGATCTTTGTACCTAAGATCTCAGACCGGTATGATGTTTCTGGCCCAAGAACTTCTGTTTCCTTGAATTCTGAATAGGCAAGACGTGTACACTCGAGGGATCACGCCTGTAATTTTACCTGGATGATTTGTCTCTTCATCAAGGGTGCTGGAGGTAAACCTTTTCTGGATTTTGGACTTATCCACCCGATAGTCAGGGATCCGAACAGTTTGAGTGACTTCAGCAAGCAAGGGGCCCTCTCGATGTCATGATTAAGGGTACTCTTATGCTAGTATTTCCGTATAAATCAGTCCAGTTTATAGACGCAGGTATCTCCTGTGAGTGTGACTCTCTCTCTACCTCGTATTCTACCAAACACATTATTACCCACACATAAACACAACTAAGCCAAACAAAATTATCAAACCCAACCTCACAAAAAATAAAAGTAGACACCAGGTTTACAATCTCCTACACCAATGTACAGGGAGTAAATTCCAACTTTCCAGAAGTTGAATACCATTTACTGGATGCCAAACCTGAACTATCCCAGTCCGAAACTGGTCTTGTTAACTCTATTCCACTGCAGGAGCTCACAATCCCAGGCTTCTCAACTCTAACCACTAAAAGCGCCACGGTCACGAACACGGCGCCTATACTAACGAAGGGTTTCATTGTGGCAGAGCCCTGCACAAAAAAAGATACTGATCTCCTGTATATGTGCTCCCACATGCCACTTATCTAGAAAAATAAAGTGTATTAAACGTAAGAATACAGACTTGAAGTGAAGATTAGTAGTCCAGGAATGCGGGTTAATAGAAAGTATATGTACAAGTCTTTGTAAGTAAAGCCGTAAGCATCTCTCTCTCTCTCTGGACTCTTGTATAACTCTCTGAGAACACCCTGTGTCTGTCTCTGTATTTCTCAACCTGGCTCAACGTATCTCAACGTATCTCAACAGCAGGTATTCGCTCTGTCAGTATAAGTCTACTTTGGACGAGTCCATATTATGTAAAAAGGTGAGAGCCCCCCCCTCCTAGTTAATATTTTTTTCGCTTATGGTCTATTATTAGTGGTTCCGTGAATTTTCTTTTTCGGCTTGTTCTTCTGATCTCCGTGGCTACTTGTGGTTTTTGAATTTCGAAGGCTTCGAAAATCGCCTCCATCGCGTCTTCATTTTCGGAAGGTGACGAGTTTGGTTCCTCTACCCGTCTTTTCTGTATCTGATTTATGTGTCTCCTGTGAGTGAATTTTTCACCTTGCATGGTGTATAGAACATTCCCCAGTCTGTTTATTATCGTACCTGTTTCCCAGTATGCCATATTATTCTTGAACATTCTGAAATAGTCCCGTTCGCCTGGTTTGAAGGATCTTTTAGGTATTATCGGTGTATGTCGGTTTTTATTTTTGCTGGGTAATAGTTTATCAAAAACAGACCGTATTTTGCGGGCAAACATCACTTCAGTTGGCGAAAGGCCAGATGGTGTGTTTCCGTTGGGGGTGATTCTGTAGACTTGTAGGAACTGTTGTATGGCTCTTTCTGTTGGTACGTCCTCTGCTTTTTTCAAGGCTCTCTTAAGCGTGTCCAAAAACCTTTCGGCTTGCCCGTTAGATCGTGGATGGTATGGTGCTATTTTAATATGTTTGACTTGATAAGTTGCACAGAATTCTTGAAAGTCGCTCGAGGTGAATTGGGTACCATTATCTGTTACAAGGCAATCTACAACGCCGAATCTTGCGAATAACTCGTGTAGACAATTAATAGTGTTTTCCGTCGTAGGGTTTTAGGAACTGAAAACTTCTGGCCACGTGCTAAAGCTATCTACCGTTATCAAGTAGTAATATCCATCTATGGTCCTGCATAGTCCGCATAGATTCTAGACCAAGGTCTGTCCACCTTAGGCCATGAGTAATGTCGTTATCCATATCAGGCCAATACACGAAACTTCTCATTAACGCTTTCATACGATTTTTCCCTGGGTGTCCTAGATGAAAGTCCTTCAGAATTCGTCTTTGTAAAGATTTTGGTATGACCACTCTTTCATGATAAAGTAATACGTGATTACAAATTGAAAAACACTCCGCCAGATTTCTTTCTTTTCCTTCTATTTTTCTCTTTGTACTTTGTATGAATTCATCCATTTCAGCTTCTCTTCTGATTTCTAACGAGGTCACTGGTAATTCCCTTACTGTATTGTTTAGAACTTTACTAATTTCATCTTCGTCTCGCAAAGCCGCTATTACCGAGTCTTCCAGAGGTTCGCATTTCGCAGGTACCAATCTAGATAATCCATCTGCATGACCAATTTTCTTCGACGGTAGGAACTCTAGTTTGAAATTATAATTCATTAATATAGTTCCACATCTCAGAAGCCTGTTGGCTGTGTAAATCGGTAGTCCTTTTTTCGATCCGAATATAGTGAGAAAGGGGTTTATGGTCAGTTTGAAGAGTAAACTCTCTTCCATATATGTATCTGTGGAAGTGAGTTATGGCGAATATTATGCCTAACGCTTCTTTCTCAATTTGCGAATAATTCCTCTCTGCTGGTAACAACGATCTAGATGCGTGAGCTATAGGTTTTCTTGTGCCATCCTGCGTTCCTTGTGCCATCCTTCCATCTTGTGTAATATACAAGCTCCCACTCCGTGTGAGCTTACGTCACTAGCAATGATAATTTCCAGTTTGGGATCAAAATGCGTCAGTGCTAGATCAGACGTTAATTTCTTTATGATCTCCTTAAAAGCTTTCTGACAATCTTCCGTCCAGTTCCATTTGTTCTCTTTTTTCAATAATTCATTGAGGGCAGCCCTCAATTTGTGCATGTTTTCAATGAATTCACCGTAATAGTTCGTTAGACCAAGAAAGCTTTGCAAATCTGCAACATTTTTCGGCTCAGGCATATTTTTTATTGCAGATGCCCTATCTAGATCTGGTTTTCTGTCACTTTCATTGATTATATGGCCTAGATACTTGATTTCTTCTAGAAAAAAAAACGCATTTTTTCTCCTTCACTTTAAAACCAAAATCTTGAATTCTTTTAAAGACTTCTTTAATATGCGTTGCGTATTCTTCCGCATTATCGCTTTTGATTAAAATGTCGTCTAAGTAAGCAGTAGCAAAGTTCTGTCCCATGAGCATGGTATCCATCGTCTGTTGAAAGATTGACGGTGCTACTTTTATCCCAAATGGCAATCTGTTAAATTTGTAAAGTCCTTTGTGAGTATTGATACATAAAATTTTTGTACTTTCTTTTTCTAGTGGAATCTGAAGATAAGCTTAGAAAATACCTTACCACCGTTAAGCTTGGTAAATATTTTCTCCGGGCTTGGCATTGGGTAGTGATAATCCCTGATAGCCTTATTTAACCTAGTCGAGAAATCTGCGCAAACCCGTGTTTCTCTGGATTTTTTCTTTACGTAAATCACTGGTGCCGCCCATTCACTGAATTCGGTTTTTGAAAGGATTCCAGTTTGTACCAATCTATCTAACTTCTCTATCCTTGTCAATTTTTTCTATGGTTGCGAAAGGCACGTTTCACTTTTTCTTGAATACTGGCTGAACATTTTCTTTTAGTTCAATTTTAGTTGCAAACTTATTACATCGTCCCAAACCGCTCGAGAATACTTCGGGAAATTGCCTGTGTAGTTCTTCTTTTAATTTTGTAGCTTCTGACGGTTCGCACTCTATTTTCTTACAAAATGAGCTAATGGGTAAATCCCATACGTCAAATTTTTGCATCCAATCCGTGCCCACCAAATTTTCTGTGCCTTTCATTACAAATATCTTCAATTTTTTCGTTTTACCATGGAATTTTAAGTTTAGAATTACTTCTCCTTCAAAATTGATACGCCTCCCTGTAACAGACTTGGCGATTTTCTGTGTATGCATCATGGTCGGTCTATTTAGCTTCCTCCATGTCTATAAATTAATTATAGTTAGATCCGATCCTGAGTCTAACTGTAATTTTAC